ACTTCAGAACTTTTGCCTGAACTATTAGAGAGCTCAATATTAAAAACAAACAGCCCACATTTTGTCCAGAATTGTTTTTAGATTAATTCACCTCAGAATTACGTTAGGTATCACCTTCGCAGGGAAACAGCCAACAATGTGCTACCAAACTATTAAAATGGGCTTTTAATAGAAGTCACCAACAAGCACAGGAAAATGAGTGTATCACACACAAGTGCATTCTAAATCATCTCAGTGTCGCACATTCATGATGGGAGCGCACATGGGGGCCTCCTGCCTCTGTCCCTGTCCTCTGTTCAGTGCACCCTCTGCACCTTTAATGCGGGAAGGCCACAGGACAGAAGCTGTCCAGCACTCCCAGATTCACAAACTTAGCCAGCCTTACAGGGAAGAAAGCAGGTGACGACACACACAGGACTGCAGGAAGCTGAACATCAGCCTCACAACTTTAATTCTTCCCTTCTTGCATTTTGTCTTTCAAAATTTCTTCCATTTTTTTCTTTCAAAACGTACAGTGTTTGCTGTCTACAGAAATTCCCTATGAAAATACAGTATCTTTGGAAAGGACTATACTTTGCGCCATCTATGGCAAATTTTGTTTAGTTCACCGTTTTCCTAGGGAAACCTGCCAGAACAGCCGTTGTAATAGGACTCTATTCCGTGAGACAGACTACTTTGAGTGGTTCTCTTATTGGACTTAGATTTAGTTATGTGGCTTCATCTCGAAGCTTTATTCTGCTGCATCAGCTTCTGAAGTGTGGTCACTAATTCTCTTTTATGGTTATAGTAGAGTACAACATTTCAGACTTGGGCGGCCTAATCCTACTTTCAGACACAGTGTCTTCACCTTCCCATAAGTACACTCGTCACTGTCAAATAATGAGTCCTGAATTTTGCTTTGGAAAATATGGTGACGCCTCTCCTGTGAGCACAAATGGAAGGAAATCACTGATTCTCTTCCCTGACCCAACATCATGTCAAGCATCCAAATTAATCTTCCACTCCTGCCAGTCCCACATGTTCTCTGCTCGTTCTCTACACCCTCCCCTCAATAAAAGTAATAAAAAATTCTACCACAATTCTGGATGAAGCCGGAAGGAGCAGATGCTCCCTCAGGGCTGTTGGGTTAAAAGAAGGGATCACTCTAGAGAAAAAACGAAACCCTGGATCTGTGCCACACACAGGCATGGGATTTCAATTTGCAACAAGTGCATGAACAGGGCATTACAGACCAGTAAATTAACAATGTTGGCCCAGGATGCTTGAAAATCCCAGATCCTCTAGTGGAAGGAAGCACTACCCAGACCTGCGGAGGCTTTTTCACAACTGAGAGAACAGCAGTTGTAACATGCTCACCATGAGTTCATTAAGATGTAGACATAATGTGGGTGCCCGTCACAGCATTATTCCTGAGAGCAAAAAAAGAGGAGTAATCTACATGGTCAAACTCAGGGATCGATATATATTATAATATAGCTACACATCAAACACTTTTGCAGCCTATGAAAATCACATTTCAGAAGAACATTTCACACCATAGGAAAATGCACAATTTGGGTGAATAAAGCAAATTATGAAACAATATGTGCAATGTGATTCAAAGATTGTTTTAAAAAGTACATATATACATAGGACAAATATTGGAATAATGCAGACCGAAAAAGCAGAAGTATTTATTTCTGGGAGTTAGGATTACAGTTTTAAAATGTGTTTTCCTTTATTCTTTATTTTATTTTTCCCAATAATCACCAACATGTATTATACTAACGACAAACAAAAATCAATTAGCTGTTTCTAAAAATAAGGTTAATTCTCACCAGAGAGCCCATTTGAAAGCTTATAAGGAGATAAAAAGTGCTTGGACATTCTAAGGGGAGCTATACCTGGAAGCTGGATATAAGGGCTCGATACAGTCTCTGTGGTAATGAAATTGGTGATAAATGCCTACGTAAGATGTAAGATGATTTTTTTTTTTTTTTTGCTAGCCACCAGTTTGTTTTCTTCCAACTCAAACTTCAGGATAAATAACAATGCATTGAAATTATGCCTTAGGAAAAAACTATTGTTTTAAAGATGTTAATTTCCAAGATTTAAAGGAATAAAATGCCAAGTCCTAGTATCACCAAGTTAATGGTGGAAAAAACTACAAGGAAGGTTACATATTGCATTGCTTAACTCAAACTCACTTCTAATGACTTACTCTATGAGATTATAGTAACAGACCTTTTAAACTGTTAAAGGGATTATCTACAAAATGTCTGTCAGAGTTTTACTGGAACACAGCTATGCTCATTCACGTACATCTTGTCCTGGCTGCTTCTGCACTATGACGACTTCTTGAAAGAATGGAGAGACCGCAAAGTCTGACATATTTACTAACTGGGACTTCGGAGAAAAAGTGCCTGATGTATACAAGTGTTTTCACGGTGGTTATGAATACCCAAGTATTTCCTATCGTCAGCCTCTAGGTGGCAGAAAAGATCCTTAAACTAGTAGGGACAACCCCGCCCCCCCCAACTAAAAAAAAAACCCCACTGCCCTACAGAGGATATTTACATTTCCAATTTAGTCATCCCCTAAAATTCAGCCCTTTCAACAGTATGAAACATTTTTTTCTACATGTGCTCAATAAACCAAAAATTAAATGTCTAAAAGAAATTAGAGGATTCATTCAGTCTAGTACTAATGTCTGTACTGAAATTTAGCATTTATTCACTCCTGCCTAAAATAAATACTATATGAATATACACCATTAAAGAGGCTCCTCAGTTTCAATGTGTCTGTATAAAATTCTTCTCTTATTAGGCTGCATTATACTTCTGAAGTTTCCAGGTTTATACAATCCATTGACCCAACTGGATTTAGAATTAGGTTGTGCATGTGCTTATGTGTATGGGTGTTGGACACCAACTTTTATTTTAGCTAAATTTAACTGGTTTTAGGATCTGACGGAACAACTTTTTTTTTTTTTTTTTTTAAGCAGTGTGTAGACACAAGCAACTTTTATTATGGCCAGACTTCACACATGAATCGATCAAGGCAAGGTGACTAGGTCCATGCAACACATTCCACTTTCAGACTCACCATTATATGAAAACCATATGAGGATCTCTTGGAAGGAGAAAAGCCTATGTTGCTTGCATGCTAATATTACTAGTGTTCTTTTAAAAGACATATTCCTCATTTCTCAACAAGATAAAGGCACCACCCCACTCCCCAGGGGCGCAGCGGAGAGAATTCTGATGCAATCTCCACCTCACACTCACAGCCTTTCCTGCCATTTCTGTTCCCTTGCTTTCTTCTGCAACTTCAATCATTACCTTTTCCATAGACAAGGAAAAGTTCAAGTAGGACAGTAGATAGCCCCATGCCGATCCCTAGTTTAAATACTTTGTTCTGACTTTCCCTCTCTCTCATGTTCGTTGATAAACCATTTGAAAGTTGCCAACATCATGACACTTCATCCCTACCATTTCTGTTCCCTTGCTTTCTTCTGCAACTTCAATCATTACCTTTTCCATAGACAAGGAAAAGTTCAAGTAGGACAGTAGATAGCCCCATACCGATCCCTAGTTTAAATACTTTGTTCTGACTTTCCCTCTCTCTCTCATGTTCGTTGATAAACCATTTGAAAGTTGCCAACATCATGACACTTCATCCCTAAATAATTCACCATGTACCTCTTAAAGTAATGACATTTTCCTGTCTACGCACAATACCATCATACACCTAAAAACTAGCAATAATTCTACACCGTCAGATAATATCCAATGAATATTAAAATTTCCCCCATTTAAACCCAAAATGTCTTTAGAGATCTGTTGTTGAACCAAGGTCTAATCTAGAGCCACGCGTCACATGTGTTTGCAGGTGTCTTTAGTTCCCCTTTCAACCAGGACAGTTCCTGCCCCCACTCTCTGTACACACACCTCTTTTTCATGATCCTGGTTTTTGAAGAGACCAGATCATTTGCCTTGTAGAATCCACATTCTGGATTTTTCTGATTGCTTTTCTTGTGGAGCCATTAAAATTATTTTCTATCCTTTATATTTCCTGTGCACTAGAGGTTAGTTCTAAAGCCTTAACATGATGCTGCACGCCTCGTATGTTGCTCTGCGCTGACGGGTGTGAAATGCGGAGTTGCCTCGTGTTCCGTAATGTTAACTTTGATCAACTGGTTAAGTTGTTGACCACCTTTGTAAAGGTATGATTTTTCCTTTGTAATTAGCAAACAATCAATGAGGCTGTACTTTGTCATTGTCCAAACATCCCCAAAAACCTTTTAAAGTAATGATTTCAGGTTGTGGCCAAAATCAAACATTTCATTAAGGATCAATAAATAATAATTTTTGAATTCTGTTATTCCTTCCCCTTTCATTAGTTGGCGTTTTCCTGTAAGGAGTTTTCGCTCAGTGACTGAGAATGGCCTAGAATTCTTTCTAAAAAGTCAAAGTAAATGTAGGATTCTTTACCTTTAATTCCCATTATCACAGTAAGAAGTTGGTATGATAGTCATCTCCGTTGAGGCAAATTATTAAAAATTTCTCTCTTTTCTCTCCCTTCACCAAGGAATCATGGATTTTTAAATGTTTATGATCAATTAGCTGTCATTTTTGATGCTCACTTTGTCCCTGTATATTTGGCCTGTAGGAGCTCTTTCTAGATGGATGCTTGTGATGCATCCTCATTATTCTCTGTGAAATGTCCTCACTGGACACCTTTCCCCAGCTGAGACCCTGTGTTTGTCCTGCCTGCTACAAACAGCAGCCCCCTCCTTTCACATGCCAGAGTCACTGCCATCTGAGGAGACCATCTTCTTCCTTTAGACTGTGTCATTCAATAAAATTAAACTGCTAGACTTCCTCATCCACCCTCACCAAATCTTTGCTCAACATATCAATTGCCATCAAGGACCTCTGCAAATTCACAATGCCAAATCAAGTTCATAAATGGGTAGGGGTAACGACCTCTCCTTGAAATGCCTTAAAGATTTCTCTTACCTTGCATAGTAGTCGTTGGGTGGAACTGCTTCTTGAAAGAATTGGAACTGGTATAAATAAAGTCCAATCAAGTGTCCAGCAGTGAAAATAGCCAGCAGAACACAGAGACAGCTGAACAGCAACGGGTCAAACGTCCGGCACCAGGACCACCAGGTGCACAGACCCAAAAATACAAAGAAATACACAGATGATGTCAAAGATGGCAACATCATACCTACGGAAGAAGAAATGCAATCACGAAAAAATGATAGAAATGGAAATTCACTTGCCACCCAGGAAAGGAAACTGCAGGGAGTTATGTGAATTTCCTTCATATGCTTTTAGGTATTGATGAGGTTTTAAAAACATTAACCCTATTTTATTTATATAATCAGAATTAATGCTATATTTATTGTGAACAAAGTTGTACATGAAGTGATAGTTTTGTAAATACAGGCAAATACCAGATAATGAAGAAATTTTACCTGTCACGTTTGAGCTGAGTAAACATCCACTTTTCATACCAGCAGAATTTGCCTGTTTCCATCTTTCTACCTCTCCCCCAAATTTTTCAGGAATGCATGTTATGTCCATTTCAACTTTCCTTGACATCATATTCTTTCTAATGACTTAGTTTTGTTTTCAATTAACTAAAATCCATAACAATATTACATCTGCGGCGGTTAAAGTCTCGCTAAAATTTTGTTCTTTCTGATAAAATTTGGCTTTCACTCTCACCACAATGGGAGGTGCAAAGGAGGTAACTCCTTTACAGGTATTTTAAAACAATTTTATTGGACATTTTGAAATGACTCCTCATTAAAATACTGGGTTTTATTCTTAAGAAATTCTATTTCCTTTTCTTTCTTTTTTTTTTTTTTTTGTTATAAAACAGTTCAGTAGCTTCATCTTTGCAGTTTGGGTGAGTCTGCTCTAACAAGCTTCCCCATGGCTCTGGAGCACTGGTGAGCAGTGCGATGGAAGGCGGGAGAAGATCAAGATAACACTACTATTTAATAAGCAGTCAGTGCCAAACTGAAATGAAGTGAGTGTCTGTACTGGAAGATGACACTCTAACTTAGGAAGAAAAATAGTATATCCCGGAGAGTTAAATTAAGATCACTAATGACTCAACGCACACAGACGTGCCTTTAGAACCCACAGGAAAGGCTTGAGGTGGGTTAACTGTGGCAGACCACCATTCAAAGGCTCTAAGGAAGAGGAATAGCTGTTATTCTAATCTAAACATAGAAAACGAAGTCACTTAGATACGGAAAGAGATTACTGTACAGAGGTTACAGAAACCATCTAAAAACATCAAAACTGGAACTAGTCAGGAAAAACTGTTTTTTCATACGGTTTGTACATGTGGCCAGTTTTACAAGAGCTACAGTTATTATTCTGATGTCACAGAATAGATTGTTCCCTTCTTTACCTTCTCTTCAACCATTTCTTTCATTATCCACCGAAGTGCTGCTTGAGCCTCTCGACTCTGTGCAGCCCAGGGTCAGCGAGGCTCCTTACCTGAAGAGCCCAGTAAGATGGTCACAACGACTCTTCCAGCGGTGGTTATCACGTTGCCAATAAACTCCTTGAGCTTGGAGGCCACAGAGGCAAGCCTGCGGAACATTTTTAACCTTGTGCTTTCTTCCAAGTCACCTTCAACACCGTCTCCTCCATCTAAATCCTCTTCAGAGATCAGGGCCTCTTCTGAATCTATTTTTTCTCTTCCAGCCTAAATAAAAAAACAGAAAATATTACAGTGCAGAACTCTGCCTACCCACCCAGCAGATTATATGGTTCCTACCTTATGGGTTAGTTAATGAGGTGAATTCACAAATCAGAAGAAAATGCAGATAACCACCTTAGTCGCCCCAGGTCTGAGAGTCCCTGTATAAAGCCCAAGCAACTTTGATCTTTCCTGATGAAATAAACAGGAAACATCACTAATCACAGGGTCCCCATGTCATGTTACCTACATGTGCTCATTTTTTGACAGGCAGAAGCAACTGTCTGAGACATCTATTAACGATCTTAGCTTTGATCAATCTGGGTTTGGTTCTTCAAGTTTACAATGTTTGCCACCAAGGTGACAGGAAGTTTGATAAAACTACCCATGGCTTTAACTGGAAGGGTAGGCCTGATTGGTGGTTAGGAAATCCCTTTTTTTCTGAAGTTTATCTTTGTTCGCTATTTCAGTATTTCCTGGCTGTGGGAGTATGAGCGGTCTTGGGCTCCTTGGCTAAACATACAGTCACTTCCCATCTGATCCTTCTGGAAGATGATATGCTGATTCAATCCTAGCAATTCAGTGCCTCAGCACTACCCTTAGAGCTGCAGGGAAGAAACACATGTACCAGAACAAACACATATTTCCATGTATTATTTTAAATTGAGTGTGCCAAGGTGTGTTTGCTTGTTTGTTTTGTCTTTAAACGATAAAAAAGAAAAAATTTTTGTATAAAAAAACCTTTCGCTAGAAGGGTTAGGATTTTTTTAAGGACTCATAAATATAAGCCATCACCTTAAAATGAAAGAGGTCTGTTTGAGATGCACGAAGATTTGTTTTCATTTGTCCAGAGGCCAACGGACTTCACATCTTCAGCTTGACCGAGTCTTGTCTCTAGGCCCAGTTGAAGCATCGATTTCAGACTTAAGAGTAGAGCCTGGCCTCTCCACTTTCGCATTTTAAAGGTTCTTTCTTGATATATTTAGTTCAGGTATTTACATAATAGTCACTGATGATGCCTGACCTTTTACTATGACCAAGGTCACTTGAAGAAGGCAGGCTTGGAGGAGGGCTGCTGCCAAGTTCAGGTAGGTGCTGAGTGGCCTTGAGAACTCAGAGACCTTCTGTTTGCCAAGGAGGATACAGATTACTGGTGGCTTGAGTTGGCTAATGATGAAGCCAAGGCTACAGGATGCATCTCCACCTGCCCTCCCCCAAGTCGACCGCCCCCCCCCACACACATGCACACACACACGATT